TTCAGCTCTGACTGGAAGATTACTGGATACCTAGCAGAGTTCAATAAGGCAGTGTGCATTGTAATATTGGGGAAAAAATCCATCTTAATCATAAAAATCTTCATTCCTAAGCAATATCCTTATTTCTAAGAAAAGGGGAATTACTGCTGAGGTGGTCTCCCATGGAGAATGAGACACGCACGCAGCAGGTATCTCGGGATGGGAGCCCAGAGCTGACTCCAGCACCCTCTTTTATTGTTACTCAGGTTTTTACATCACACAGCATAATCAAAAGACGTATATAGGGGTGGTTACAATATATCAAATAACAGACACTTTCTAGATGCAAGGCTACTGCAGGTATTCTTATCAGAGTCTGTCCAAATGGTTGATGAATGCATCCTGTGTCTAGAGCCGGTCCGTTTGTTATCTCTGGGGCCCTTGTGGGAGATGCCCATGGACATTTTTGTGCAATTAATCCCACATCTCCTGCTTTTCTGTTTTTTCAATGTTACTGACTTCCAGTTCCAGAAGGGATCTTGATTCACTGATTAAGGCGTCCTTCCTAGCGGAGGGCGTAACATTTTTGCACATTTGCAGGAGGGAGGGAATACATTGAATGCAACAACATAGCAATACAAATAATATCAAAATGGTTACTATAATAGAAATCAAAGATTGTAGCCAGGATCCATCCGGTAGCCAGGACCAAAGGGCACCCCAAATACCCACGGTGCCTGATCCATCGCTGCGTAAGGGATTATTTTGGAGCAAAGATTCCATTTTCCTAGCTGTAACAGAAATATTAGGTTGAAAATCATGTATATACATACAACAATGAGAATGAATTAAGGCACATACACCGCCTTTTGCTGCTAAAATAATATCTAAAGCATACCGATTTTGCAAAACTACTTCCCTTATTTCCCCCATTTCTTGATTAATCATTTTAATGCTGTTGATTGTTTCATTAAACATATGAACAGTCCAATTATTAAGCAAATGAAGGTCTCTATAGTTCATGGCAACTCCTAGATTGGGTAGAATCCCTCTGCTGATTTGAGTACTGATGTTTGTCCATTGATTGCTTCGATAAGTGTCATTTATCTTAGTAAGGTTGCTTTTGATGGATTTGCATTTCTTTGCTGAATTCCATATAATAACTTGTTGACAATTACTATAAGTTCCCAAATAAATGGCAGTACGGAATAGTCCTGTGCTATAAAAACAAAATCTGGCAGGTTCCATTATATGAGCGCCCACAGCATATGTCATATTCAATGTCTCTGTAGTTATGTTCCACAGCTGCTTCCATCCTGTTTCATTGAACGGGATGGCATGGAAAAAAAGGCCACCACGACTGTCACCAGGAATTTGCATGCAAATCCAACAGTTCGTGATGTTAAGTGTAAGAGCAGTGCGCCTGGCATCCCGTACAAAAGCATTAAAAGCCCACAGTCCCTGATCCTCATATGCCTGGCTGAGGTGGTGTACGTTGAGCCATATAAGGATGAACACAACGAGCTGGAGTCCAAATGATCTCTCCATGGTCGTCTATTGCAGCATAGCCTCAACCCCAGGTAATGAGGGAGGCAGGCCCTTTCCAGGTGGGATCAGGCAAACGTCGATAGTATACCTGGGGGCGTGAAGAATCTGTGGGAGAAGCAGAAAAATGCCTGCTTGCGGCAGTTGAGCCAGGGGTGCCAGAAACATTCAAAAAGTTTAAGGTAAAAAGTACAAGATTAAGAGTGTTTTGTATCCCAGGCAAGCCGGGGGTATTTTCCCCTTTCTTTTTTGCATGCATGTCTAGAGCCCTTTTTACGGTCTGATTGGCTCGTTCCACGATCGCTTGACCAGTGGAGTTATATGGAATGCCATTGATTAAAAAAGGCATCACCAGTTTTTGGGGAGTAATTTGCTTTGTTAGTGCCAATAAATCAAAGGAAGAATTCCCAGAGTGAGGTGCATATGCAGCCTCTGGAATGGGTGGTGCTGGACATGGTAATAAGACCAAGCGTGCCACCGTATCCCCCCGGTTCATTGTGACAGGGAGATTGGTATAAAATTGGACTTTTAGGGTGTCTCTATACATGGGATCTATCAAACCTGGAAGCACAAACACTCCTTGTTCCCGAGCAACAGGTGTGGGAAGGATTATTGCCTCCGTTTCCAGAGGCAAGGGTCCAGAATAAAGGGTTTCAGCAACCATGAGTAGGTTAGGAAAAGTAACAGAAAGAGCAGAAGCCAATTTTAAATCTATGGCAGAAAAACATTGCGAAGCAGAAGAAGTAAGGTCTGAAAAGGATGCAGCCTTTGGAGAGGGGTTAGCTGCAGACTCCTTTGTTAGTTTAACAGGGAACAACTCTGTCTCGGATAGTTCAGAAACGCTTAAATCACCATTGTTTAAAGCCTTTTGAAAAGCACCACAGATGATTCCGGGCCGGGAGAGAGGCGGCAACGTGGCAGGAACAGGAGAGGCTGTAGAATTTGCAGTGGCAGAGGGAGGGTTAAAACCTGCTCCAGGGGGCAAGGGAGTGGCCAACATAACAGACGGATTTTTATATGGTGGAGGATCTAATAAAGACTGATGAGGCGAGTCAGCATAGGTTTGAATCAGAGTATAGGCAATTTTCCAAAGGCACAAAATCTCTGGGGGGGCTCTTGGAGACTGATGAAGAACGGTGCCAATTTTCCTCCATGTATCTACTTTTAAAGATCCAGACTCCGGATAGGATGAGCAGTTAGCCCATACGTAAGCAAGCAATTTAGCAGCCTCAGATTTAGAAAGGTGACGGGTTAATTTCTGTTCCTGATCAGTAAGATATTTTTTCCTGCCAAGTAACCTCAGCTCTTCCACATGCTGCTTTTGAGCGTGAGACATTCCACCCCCCATACTTACGAAGAGGAGTCAGTTGCCAGCAACTTCGTCGGGTGCACCAAGCCTATTCCAGGCGATAAGTAAAGGGTCGGCAGGGACGTATCCTTCAGTGGATCACGTCAGGGTCACCAGATGAGGTGGTCTCCCATGGAGAATGAGACATGCACGCAGCAGGTATCTCGGGATGGGAGCCCAGAGCTGACTCCAGCACCCTCTTTTATTGTTACTCAGGTTTTTACATCACACAGCATAATCAAAAGTCGTATATAGGGGTGGTTACAATATATCAAATAACAGACACTTTCCAGATGCAAGGCTACTGCAGGTGTTCTTATCAGAGTCTGTCCAAATGGTTGATGAATGCATCCTGTGTCTAGAGCCGGTCTGTTTGTTATCTCTGGGGCCCTTGTGGGAGATGCCCATGGACATTTTTGTGCAATTAATCCCACAACTGCATTGCAATTTGGAAAAAAAAAAAGATAAAATCTCCCATCTAAAGAACATAGCTATACATGTTTTGGGGCTATACTTAATTTTTGCTTTATTGAGGCAAAAAGTGAGAAGCATGGTGGCTCTCATGGTTAGGACGCTGGATTGTAAGTTAGCAAGCCTGCATTCGAAACCCTAGTGCTGTACTGGGGCAGGGTGAGCTCTCGTCCTTTGCTCCAGCTCCTGCTGGGGGAATGAAAAGAGCCCCAATTGGACATTGCCCAGACAACTGTGATGTCACCAGCTAATCCTTTCAACCCAGTGGAAAAGGCAAAAAGTAGAAACTGGGAACTTACTTTTGATAAAATAAGGTTACAAAGATTATGGGAAACAGTTTGTGCATATCATATTGTGCATTGTCATATTGAAAAAAAGAAAGGAAAATATATATTCCCCGATTTCTTTCAGAAGTAAGATGGAGGATGCTGATACATTATTGGAACACCTCAGTGAAATAAAAAAGTTTCATTATATCATTATTTAGTATATTTATTGTTATCCATTGTTTCTTTTTCTTTTTTTGCACTTTTCTCTCTTTAAAGTGGTGATGGAAAACAAGAGATTGATTTGATAGACTTATTTATTAAAAAATAGATGGAAAATTATCAAATACTGGTAGAAAGATAGTACATAGCATGTACAGACTTGGGGGGGGGAGCCAAATGATGTCACAAAGCATGATATGACACAAGTATGAAAAATGCAAAACTTATGCTGTAATAATTTAATATACATTCAATCATTTTGACATTTGATTAGGAAAACATGCCAATAATTACATGAGAAGATGTAATGTATATTAAAAGAAGTGAAAATGTCTTTTGTTACAAACATGATTCTGCCCATTTTGTTATATGGAAGTGAAAGTTGTGTATGATAGGATAAACAAAAGAGTAACATGAACACAGTGGAATAGAGTGTATGTAGTAAAATAAAGAAATTAAGAAGTGTATTAAGATGAAGAATGTTTGATGCATTAATGTGGATTTAATTTAGATGTGAGATCAAAGGTCACACAGAATGAATGAAGACCAAATTACAAAAAATGTACAAAGAAATAATTCATAAAGAAAGAGGAAAGAATGGCAATCTAGAAGGAAGTCAGCCTGAGCATGGAAAGGAAGAAAAGTAAGGAAAAGAAATGTGCAAAATAGCTGAATGGGCAAGATGAAAGTAACAGAGGCCTCCTAATACACTATTAATAAATCAGAATGAGAATCAGAATCAGATTAGAGCTGAAAGGGATTTTCAAGTTCTTCTAGTCCAATCGCCTGCTGAAGCAGGAGACTCTATATCATTTCAGACAAGTGACTGTCCAGTCTCTTCTTTAAAAACTCCAGTGATGAAACACCCACAACTTTTGACAGCAAGCTGTTCCACTGGTTGTTCTCACTGTTAGGAAGTTTCTCCTTAATTCTCTTCATGATTAGTTTCCATCCATTGTTTCTTGTCCTGCTTTCTGGTGTTTTGGGGAAAAAGTTGACTCCCTCCTCTTTGTGGCAATCTCTCAAATACTGGAATACTGCTATCATGTCCCCTCTAATTCTTCTTTTCTCTAGACTAGCCAAACCAAATCCTGCAACTGTTTTTCATATGTTTTTGTCTCTGGGCCTTTAATCATCTTAGTTGCTCTTCTGTGCATTTTTTCCAAAGTCTCAATATTTTTTTTGGTAATGTGATGACCAAAACTAGATGCAGTATTCCAGGCAAAGTCTTACTAAGGTTTTATAAAGCGATACTAATACTTCACGTGATTTTGCTTCTATGCCTGTTTATATAACTAAAGATTGTATTAGATTTTTGGCTACTGCTGCTCCTAGCTCCTATTTAAATGATTGTCCATTAGGATTCCACAGTCCCTCTCACAGTTACACTTTTTGAGCCAGGTTTCGCCTAATCTGTATTTGTACCTTTGGTTCTTCCTGCCTATGTGTAAAACCTTGCTTTTCTCCACATTAAAACTCATTTTGTTGAATAGGGCCCATTGTTCAAGTCTATCAAGATCTTTTTGGATCTTGAGCTACAATTTGTGATCTAGTAGATGTGTAGACGTCACAACTACCAGCATGAATACCCAGATTGAAGTTCTGAAAATTGCATCTCAACACATCTGGGAAATGCCAAGCTGGATGATGCAGTCTATTAGTCTCAAGTACTGAATTCCACCTGTTTGTTACAGGACTACTAACTTTGTCTTCTTATTAAAGCTAAGCTTTATGCTGGAATATGTTTCTTTGCTGAGAACACATCTATAAATAATTCACTGCCCTGACTAAACAAAAGTAATATAAAGGCATTACAGTGAAGAAAAACAATTTTCACAGTTCTGGTTTGAAGATGATCTGTGAGTATTTCACTATTCCGGCAGCAACTTGGAAAAACGTGAAGTCTTCTGGAAAATAGAAACTATCTCCTTAGGTGCTGAATTGACAGGAAAGCACTCATACGACTATAATCACAGGGTTATGTGGGGGAAAAAAATCCTTGGAGCCGAGAATTATTAGATTTTCAGGATCAAATTTACGGAAAAACTCTAGAATGGGAGAAATATGTTGTTGTTTTGAAAAAGTTGCTATTTTTAAAAAAGTCACTCGGAGAACTTGCGCTGCTCAATTCTGCCCTCCTTCTGTCTCTTCCAATCCGTCCCACTCCTGGTCCCCCCAATCCCCTGGATGTGCGTGCTCGCGCGTGCTTCTTCCTCCCCGCGCAGCACATTCTTGCGGGACTTCCAGTCTTTCCTTCAAGTAGCGGGGTGGCACGGAGAGGGTTAACGCTCAGGAATGCACCCGCCAGGAATGTGCATGCAGATGAGATGGATGCTAATCTCATGTTAATGAGTGGCTGCCGCTGCCGCCGCCGCTCGGGACTGAGCCGGTTCTCCCCCTCCCCCCGGAACATAAGCAGCGCCTCGTCTTAACCTGGACCCCCTGACCCCCTGCTGCCAATACGGAATAAGGCCCGAAGGCGGAGGCTCCGTCCAGACATGGTGGACTGAAACTCAGGAGAGTTTCCTGGCCCATTGCACGATTCTGCCTCCCTCCACCCACCCAGAGCTCCAGGGGAAGGAGGGGGCGTCTTTTCCCGCTTCCCTCCTTTCTTTCTTGTTTGCTGTCCCTATGGAGCAGCTATACCCTGACTTCGACCATGCCTAGAAAAATGGGGAATGGGCAATTGCCCTTACCCGACGGCTGGGAGGAGGCGAGGGATTACGATGGGAAAGTCTTCTACATCGACCACAACACCAAACAGACCAGCTGGATCGACCCTAGAGACAGGTGGGTGTAGATCGCCTCTCCAAATCCCAATGCGCGAAGAGGAGGGGGTTGAACCCGGGGGGGAGGGGGAAATTGGCGTCAGGCGCATTTGTCCTCACTTTAGGAGGAGTTGAGTTTGTTTTTTTCCCCACCTCTCTAGTCCCCTCCCCAGTATAAGGGAGAGTCTCACGTAGTTACATAATAAAGATAGTGATAACAACAACAACCTGCAAGGAAGAAAAGGGAAGTGTTCCCTTCCGCCCCAGTATTATCTTGGAAAGAGGAGGGTGGTAGCGTGCAAGTTTGTGTATTTCTGGCATGCGTTGTCTGGCAAGGGTGTGTATTGGAGACAGAGAGGGAAAGTGACTCTGTAGGCTGCAAAGTGAGGAGAGTCATAAAAGCAAGAACTCCGGTTAACATGCTCTTTCTTGTGACTGGAACAAAACACGGATCAATTTGCCAACCCAGATTTTATGTAATGGCTATGTGTTGAAATGTTTCCCAGCAGACTATGATTTACCTATAGAACTGAAACTGAGGTTCTCTTTCTTTTTATAAAACTCCTAAGTGAAGTTACAGGATTTTTAAAAACAGGTTCTGATTATTTTTTTTTTTTTAAAAAGGAATATTTAATTTTCACAAGCCACTTGCAATGTCTCTGTGACTATTAAAATAATTGGGTCAAGTAAGAGGATTTTTAAACATAGTTTTCTCTTTACAAAGTACAGCATAAATAAAAAAGATGCTGGATCTTCAGAGATATTGGGATTCTGAGTTTTGAAAGTTTGGTTAGAATATAAACCATCTTCCTGATGAAAAGGTAGAATATATTTAACAAATCTTCTAGACACGCAATTAAAAGGCTGAAATTAGTTAGGCCATTTGCTCATCTGTTTTTGGAACTAGAGCTTGGAACTGTAATGGGTTTTAACATTTTTATGTTTCTGAAAACCTGTCTTACTCCAGACAAAAGCATGTTGCCTTGTTCTGAGCCTCAGATTTGTACCATCTCATCCTTTTCAAAGGTGAAGCCCTTGTAATGAAATTGAGAGAAACTTAATCAGGCCTGGCATTTGAGTTTTTAAAAGTAGGCCTCAACTGAATCCTTTTATCTCTCCTGGTCTCCTCAGATTATAAAAAGAGAGATTTGTTAAAATAAGGAAGTTTAAACATTTCTTTAAATATGGAGGGAAAAGTCTATATTAATTTTACAACAGAATGCCTCATTTAATATTTTTTATGAAGAAAGTAATTTTCTTTTAATTGCCACCATCACAATCAAGTGATACTGAAATCTAAGAGATTAACTAAATTAAGAAAAATATTGCCCTAGTAGTATATACTATAATGTTCATTAACATACATAATAATTCTTCACTCACTTTTCAGACTTGTGCTGGTTGTCTTTATTTAACTAATAAAATCAAATATCACTTCACTAATAAAAGCCATTAGAAATTTATGACAAACTATATTGAATGATTAAGGAAGGACTTGTTTTAAATTTCCTGATTAAAATAAGAAATGGTAGCTGTAACATTTCTGATAGTATCAGAGTCATGGTGCTTCTAAACTGAAAGTTTTTATATGCCTTGCTGAAGTGTCAGAATGTCTTCCCTGATGAATGGGTTAATAAAATGGATTTATATTTAGAAATGTTGATTCGACAATTTACATTACATTGTTTCTGAAAACTTAGAAGAACCTCTTAAACAAAATAGGGCAATCCTTGACATGATTGGGTATTCAACTATACATGTACCTTGTATTTTAACTTATTCTGGATTTTCAATTGTTTCACTTTAGCTGATCCGATAACTTTTTACAGACTAAGCATTTTTTTCTGAAAACAAATACAGTACATGGTGTGCATTCAGATTTCTTGATATTCAGACTAAAACTAAATACTGATTTGTTATGTTGGCTCTCCTAAAAATGAGACTACAATTAATCCTACTTTTGGTTTTTCTTTTCACTTAGAACTACAAATAGTTCTATAATCTATAATCATTTTTTTAAATAAAGGAAAAACATATAATTTATATTTTGTGATAATATGAGGCTTGAGATGACTACTATTTTATTAATGTCCTAATTTCAGAAGGCTTGAGACATTTTCAGTCCTTAGCTTGACTGTATTTTCTTTCACAAAAGCTAATGAAGTGAAGTCCTTGTTTAAATAGTGTAGGAGACAGTGTTTGGAGTAACTCTATTAATGCCTGTCAATCTCTTTACTCACTGTTACAAAACAAATAGAAAGAAGTTGTACTTGGTACTTGAGATAATCGATAACTAATGTATAGGTCTTGACTTCAGACAAAATTATGTACAAAAAGAGGGAAAAGTAGTTAATTCATGCCCTTTTATTTGAATTCAAAATATACATAGTGTAATTCTCATTATCCTATAATACAGTCTATTTAACAGGTGAATTTCCTATTTTAATTCTATGTGATTAACTTTGAAATTAAACTTATTATAGTTACCATATGGCTTACTCCCAAGAAAATATACACAAATATATACCATCATGCAGTTTTGTTTTGTATGGTTACACAGAAGTAAAGAATCTAATTTTACCCGTATACACAGGTATATTGGATCATAGTTGGCATACTTTTAGATGTAGTCTTAATCGCACTAGTGTCATTTGGATTATTATAATCCATTCTATCTGAGGCTGCTTTGTAAACCACGTGGAAACAACACCATTGCAACAGCTTGGACTATTATGGATGCATTGTAATTTGCTTATACACTATTGCTAGAGCTGCACTGGTTACTAGTTTGCTTTGAAATAAATTCAAAGTGCTTATTTTACTTTTAAAATCATGGCTATTGTAGCTTACGACTTACATATCTTTGGAATTGCTTTGTTCCAATTATTTATGCCCATCCAAAATACCAGTTAAAAAAGATTTCCTTAGAATCCCTTCACTCAGATAAAATAATCTTCAGGGACTTGAAGGTGGGCCATTTCAGGTGCTGCTCCTGTTCTTTGAAACAGCATTCCTTCTAAGAATTGGGGTAGAGATGTTGATTGTGCCTTTGGTTTGAATTTTTTTTGGGAATTATGAGTTCTCTGTTACTTGTTTGATTTTTGTGTATAATGTAAGGCTTATTGTATACAATAGGGCATCTAAGCCTCTCAAAATTGGTTATATTAGGCACAGAACCTATAATTGGAATGTATACAGTTAGTCCTCAGCTTACAGCCATGAGTTTAATGATGGTTCAAAGTTATGATAGCCTTGGAACACATGACTAATGACCTGTACTTGCATTTCAAACAGTCAAACTAGCCCCATGATCACAGGATTGTAACTGTAGTACTTGGCAACTGACCCACATTTACGACAGATTGCAACAGGTCCTCATGGCTGTTCTAAACAACTTGATCCAGAAGCCAAGTGCTGCTCTAGACAAGGCAGATTTCTGGATAGATGGCATGTTTAACTGAAGAAACTTGGAGTACACCAACCCTGTAGAATCAGATTTGTCAGGCAGATTTGATGGGAGACAGGCATTCCCTCATGTAAACATTGCCTGTGCCACATAGGTCTTTATCTAGAATCTGGAATCAAAGCACCAACCTGTGCAGCTTGCTTATGCTGGTGCATTCTGGACCAGTTGAGGTTTCTGTGTGATCTTCAGGTACAGCCCCATGTAGCAGGTGTTGCAGTGGTCAAGCTAGGGGGGAAGGGTTGACTGAGACATGAGTGACTGCTTGAAGGGCTTCTTGATCTAGGAATGTGTACAACTGGCACATTAGATGGAGTTGTGCAAAGTCTTCCTGACCACTGCTGATTCCTGCTTGGCAAGCAGGAGCTGCAAAATCAGGAAGACCTCCCCCCCTCCAACTTCAGGGCACTGAAACAGAACCTTCATAATCTCACTTGGCTGCTTCAGGGTGAAAAATATAATTCTGTATCATCAGCATACTGATGACATCAAATCCCAAATACTTTGTTACATATAATACTTTGAAGAATAAAGTATACATTTGTACCTATCTCTGTTGCTAGCATTCATCTAAATTCTATACATAATTTGTTATTAAATACAATCACAATTTCTTACTATGTAGTTCCTATTATGCTACCTTTTGACTTTTCTATATACAGTATGGAAGCATCCCATATTCTTTTTTTGGGAAGCCATTTACTATAACTCACAACAAAACAAAACTACTAGTTTTACTCCTCTGCAATATTTTTAATGAAGAATGAAAGTACATATTTCAAATTACAGGGTTAAATGCTAATGTAATACAGTAATATTAAGTGTGTTTTTATTAAATTAAACGTGCTGCAGTGGAACTTCCTATTGGGTGTAATAATGATCAAAACTTTTATTGTTTTAAACAGGGAAAGATCAGTTAGTATTGATTTCAAAGGGGAAGGTGTGCACATTTTAAATATCTATTGTTCAATTCAATGAAAATTCAAAATGCTAAGAGTGGCTGGTTTCTGATTTTTTAAATTAATTAATTCTAGTATTATTTACACAGTTATTCATTGAACGTTATTAATAATAATAATAAAAATTGTCAGATTATTTTCTTAATTGGAACAGACACAATAGTCTCAAGATAAAAGGAACTTTGAATTATGTTTATTTTGTTTTTATCAATATACATTGTCTTTTCTTTAATTGACTAATACATTTTAGAAATAAATGAAAAGGAAATAATTGAAAGACTGGAGACTTTAATATGATAAAGACTTACTTGATTTAATCATCTAATTTGTCACATAATATTCGTAAGTATTAACAGGGAAAAAAAAAGAATAGTATACCTATTGCTGGATCTTACATCTACTTCCCCCTTCCCTTCTCTTCTTTTCTAAATCCACTATGTTGAATTTTCAAAAGGAATCTTTAATCACACAGATGGTAAAGATAGACTGAATTCTTATCCAACGTTTGCAAACCACTATCTGCAATGATCTCTATTGTCAAGGAACTTTTTAAGTAGCAATGCAATGTGATTTAAGTTCTGCAAGAAAGTTTCTTTTGAA